AGTATTCCAAAAAGATTAAAACTGCACTCAGACTTTTGGAACACTGAATAAACAGGCTAGAAGGAAGGCGATCTCAAAGAGAAAGGTACTAGCCACTAAGAGTAGGGGGGGATGAAGAATGGGAAAGTCCTGCTACGAAATTTAAATGGGGTTGAATGAGAAAGTTCAGTTGAATAAGGTTGGAAGCCAGATTGTAGGGAATTAAGAAGAGAATGAGAGGAAAGGTGGGATTTGAATTCAATCTTGAAGGAATCCAGGGAAGCTGAGAGTCAGAGGTGAGGAGGGAAAGCATTCCAAGCATGGGGCACAGATGGCACAAAGGCACAGGCATGGAAGGTGGCATATCAGGCTGAAGGAGCTGGTAGTCAGCCAATGTTGCTAGATTGTAGAGTGATTGGAAAAGGGTAAAATTTAAGAAAACTGGAAAAGTGGGAAAAAGCCAGGGAATAAATGCTAAACAGAGGATTTTGTATTTGATCCTAGAGGTAACAAGGAGCCACTGGAATTTCTTGAGTAGGGGGAATGACATGGTCACATCTGCACTTTAGGAAAGTCACTTCGGTGCCTGAATGGAGGGTGGATTGAAGTGGGGAGAGACTGGAGGCAGGCTGACCCACCAGCAGGCTATTGCAACAGTCCAGACATAAGGTGGTGAGGGTCTGCACCAGGGTGGGGGCAGTGTCAGAGGAGAGAAGGGGGCATGCAGGAGAGATGTGATGAAGGTAGAAGCAACAAGATTTGACAATAAATTGGATATGTGGGAAGAGTGTTATTCTTGACACTGAAATTGAGAGCCTGGGTGTATGGGAGAATATTGTGCCAGAGCGATTAGGAAGTTTGGAAGAAGGGAGAGTTTGAAGATAAAGGCTAGTTCAGTTTGGGATATGTTGACTTTAAGATGTCTATGAGACATAAAATTCTAGATGTCCAAAAGGTAGTTGGTGATGAGGGATTGTAGTTCAGGAGAGGCGTTAGAGCTAGATATATAGATTTGGGCATCATCCAAATAGATATGCCAGTTGAAACCATGGGAGCTGATACGATCATCAAGAGAGAGGGGCAACTCAGTGCAGAGTAGAAAGAGTGCTGGGTCTGGAGTCAGGAGGATCTGAGTTCAAATCTGGCCTCAGATACTAATTGTATGACTCTGGACAAATCACTTAACCCTGATTGCCCTACACACACACAAAGAAAAACAAAAAGAGAGAGTATAGAAAGAGAAGAGGTCCAAGGACAGAGTCCTGTGGGACCACCATGTTTATTGGACACGCCATAGATGAAGAACCAGCAAAGGAGACTGAGTATCCAAGAAAAGAGAGTGTTCAACAGTGTCAAAAGCTGCAAAGAGGTCAAGAAGGGTGAAGCTGGAGACAAGAACATTAGATTTAGTAAGGAAGAGGTCATCGGTAACTTTGGAGAGAGCATTCTTAGTTGAATGATAAGGTTGGAAGCCAGACCATACAGATTTAAGAAGAGAGTGAGAGGAAAACATGAGTGAGCATTTATTTGCGTGTGGCCTTCTCAAGACGGTTAGCCACAAGAAGAAGAAGAGGGAAACTAATGAGGATGGCTGCATAAAGTGAGGGTTTTTTGAGGATGGAGGAGACATGGGCATGTTTGCAGGCAGTAGGGAAGCAGCCAGTAGACAGGGAGAGATCAAAGATAAGTCAGTTTGATAGTGGGACAGTCTGCTGTAACAGATAAAAGGTCATCATGTTGGAGATGCAGGACTGGAGCTCAGTAAAGTACCTGAGTTCAAAGAACCTGGGTTCAAATCCCAGCTCTCCACCTTCCTACTTGAGTAACCAATCTTAGGCAAGTTGTCTGACCTTTCTGGGCCTCAGTTTCCTCATCTGTAAAATGAGGGATATGGACAAGGTCATCTCCCAGGTCCCTTACAGCATCATGTCTATCACAGAATAATCTCATTCAATAGCTGTGTAGTCTTCCAAGTTGCCAGCATAGGGATGACAGTTAAACGAAAAATGCATAATTTTATTTTAACTGCAGTTTACCAATGCCTGAAATTATGACCTCAACTCAGGTCCTACTTGATACCTCATTGTAGCATAGAGGAGAGACTCTGTGTTCTCAAAAGCTACTCTGATCTCCCAAAGCTTTAGATACAGCCCCAGCAACGGACTTCATGTTGTCCAAAAACCAGACTCTCTAAGTTCAGGAAGGCTCACTACTGAGTTGACTCTAGGGTAATGAATTTTGAGCTGTGGCAACTTTCAAAGGCTTTCTGCTAGCTTTCTAGAGGATTGTGATTTGCACAGGTAGAGAAAACATTGATATTAATGAAAGCAAGCACACAAGTGTTGAAAAAATAAATTGGGAGGGCATGAGTGTGTGTGTGTGTATGTATGTGTGTGTGTGTATGTGTGTGTGTTGGTGTCAGAGCTAAACTAAGAATTCCAGTGCCCATGTAAATTAATGTTAGAACACTGAAGCTCACATAGGCCAATCTGCCTGATTTGAGTGTAGTTTTGTTAGGGCAGTGGGTAGCCAATCCCTCAGAAAATCAAGTCCTAGACCCTGTTGGGAGCATTGGCCCCCTCCAGTTTCCCAGAAAGAGATGAGAACATAGATCCTAGGGAAGGGATGCCAAGGGCAGTTACATACAGCATAGAGCCAGCAGATCACCAGATATAAGGCTAGCAGGCTCAGCAGCGCTTCTTAAATTATGGGGTCGTGAGCTGCCATTTAGGAAGCACTGAAGAGGTCTCGAGTGGAAAAAGTTTAAGAAGGCCTGGGCTAGAGAGCCACCAGGAGGAGTGAGTACCTGTGCCCCTCACTCCCCTGCCATGCTGTGGCCTTGAGGCAAAACTCTCATTGTCCAGCTTCACTTGGCGTGCACACCTTTGGGTCCCCGTGAACCTTCACGTGCCATGTTCCTACTTTCTCCCATTTCAGGCGCCTGGTGGATCGCTTGGAGAACATGCGAAAGAATGTGGCTGGAGATGGGGTAAACCGCTGCATCCTGTGTGGGGAACAGCTGGGAATTCTGGGCTCCTCCTGCGTGGTGTGTGAGGATTGCAAGAAGGTAACGCCTTCCTCCTCCTGGACCCCTCCCCCTTCTCTACTGAGCCCCTGTATCTGGCTGACCCAAGGAGAAGCAATGGGGCCCCCCAGGGCAGAGTCTTGGGTGGGATGATTCCGCCTGGAAGCTGTCAGTCTGAGGTGGACCTCATAGGGCCATGAGATTAGTGCTGGATGGGACCATAGACGACATCTATTCAACCCTGCATCTTATAGATAATGAAACAGAGACCTGGAGAAGTTAAGTCATTTGTCCAGGTTGGGATTCAAACTCAGGTCCTCTGGCTCAAGTGTAAATGTTCTTTCTACTAGCTCTTTGCATCCATTAGGACTTGAATGAGGGAGAGATACCATATGCATTCCTCTTTCCTTCTCCTCCCCACTGTCCCCACTAGCCCCAAATTGAGTCTTACGAACCTAACACACGTTCTGGCTGGTTTTGCCCCCAGAACGTCTGCACCAAGTGTGGAGTGGAGACCTCCAACAATCGCCCACATTCCATCTGGCTTTGCAAGATTTGCAGTGAGCAAAGAGAGGTGAGTGATTTGCTTTGACTCCAGCCTTGCTGGCTCCCAACCCTCCCCGACCCAGTTCTCTAATTCTTGAGTAAGGGGAAGGGAGGGAAGGAAACTGAGATTTCACGTCCACTGTCTAAGTTTCCATTAAAGCCCCAAATACCCCTAGGTCCCAGTGACCTGAGGCACTGGTATCAGTAAGAAGATGGATGCACTGAGGCTGGATACCAGCCGGCCTCCTTGTGTGAGTTAGGTGTTTACACAGTACTCCCACATCTGGAGTATTGTCTTTAATCCTGGGTATCACATTTTGCCTGTTGTCTTCTCCCTTAGAGCGAGCTCCTTCAGGGGAGGGACTGCTTTGCCTCTCTCTCTATCCCCATTGCTTAGGTCAGTGCCAGGCACATAGTAGGTGCTAAATGAATGCTTATTGTTGTTGGTTTGACATTTTAGGAAAGACATGGAAAAACTAAGAGTATCCAGAGAAGACCATCAGGATAGTGAAGGACTCTGATTCTACGTCACAGGAGTAGTTGAAGGAACTTAAGATATTTAGCCTGGAGAAGAGAAGATTCAGGGGGTGACAAGATAGCTCTATTTGGGTATGTGAAGGGCTGTCATACAAGAGAGGTATTAGCCTTGATCTGCTTGGCCCCAGACAGCAGAACTAGGAATGATGAGGGAGTTGAATGACCAGATAGATTGGAGCAGGGGAAATCTTGTTCAGGTATGGATTAGAATACATGGCCTCAGAGGTCCATTGCATTTCTAAAAGCCTGCAATTCTGTGAGACAGCCAAGGGGGGATTGGGAGTGTTTGCTGAAAAAGCAGCTAATATCCTTTTCCTTCTTTATATTTTGGCCTTTCCTCCCTCCCTCCCTCCCTCTTTCCTTCCTTCCTTCCTTCTTCTTTCCTTCCTCCCTCCTTCCCTCCTTCCTTCCCTCCTTCATGCCTTCCTTCTTTCCTTCTTCTTTCTCCCTTTGATCCCTCCTAGTCTTCCTATATCCCCTTTCTTTCTTGCTCTTGTCTTTTCTCCTCTCCTTGTCTTTCTATCTCCTCTATCCTCTTCAGATGTTCTTCTCTCTCTCTCTCTCTCCCTCCCTCCCTCCCTCTCTCTTTCCCACTCTCTCATGGGATCTCCTCTTTCTCTCCTTGTCTGTTTCTTCCCCACTCTCTACTTCTCTCCTCTTTTCTCTCTCCCTCTATCTATCTGTCTCTCTCCCTCCTCTTCCTTTCCAAGCTCTGAAATATAGATTTTTATTTAGCCATTTCAAAACAAGTCAATCAATTAACAATTTATCAAGTGTCCATATATGTCTGGTACTGTTGGCCGGAGAGAGTAGGAGAAATGGGGGAAGAGGCAGACAATATAGCCCTTTTTTCTTCTCCTCATTGTAGCTACCTTCCTGCTCCTCCCTGTCCTTGCGTGCTAGGACACTGACAAATGTGCCTCAGTGGACACAAAAGGAATTCCCTCCATAATGAACTGCACTAGTGGTTTTCAGTCTCCACTTGAAGACTTCTTCCTTCTTGGAGATCTTCTAAGCATAGCTGACGTATAGGTTGTTGTCTTTCATTCCTGAGAAGAACCAAAATGACATCCCTATGTTGGGGTCAAGGTACAGTGTGTCCAACCAAGGCTGATCAGATCAATGTGGGCTCAGAGGGCTGTACCATATGGGTCAGGCACAAATAGTCCATACAGACACAAGAGGATGACCACTTGTCAAGCATGCCTTAGAGAAAATTCCTTTTGTGCAGGGACTAGCTGGTTACTGAGGTCCCTTCCATCTCTCAAATTCTGATTCTCTGGCCTCCATCCCCCTCCCCCGATGGGTGACTAAGCCAGCAATGACGCCGAATCAGGAGAGGATGATTCCCTTACGCCTTGGGCCTCTTGGAGGACTTCAGTAGGGAAGATCATGGGGCCCAGAAGAGGAGAGAGGAGGCCACATCCTATGTGCAGCCTCAAACAGACCTCTACTTTAAAAAAAATCACAGAGTCACCGATTTTAGAGCTGGAAGCTGACCTCAGCCATCATTTAGTCCAACCTAGACCTGAAAGGAGCTGCCCACTATAAAATACTAACAGGAGGTCATTGAATCTTTGTGGAAATCAAAAATCTACTGCCTCTCCAGGCAACCCGTTTATTTGGGGGCAGCCCTCACTGTTAAGAACTTTCCTCTGGTATTAAGCATAAATACAACTTTCTCCTGGTTTTATCCTTTGGGGTCACAAAGGACAAGACTATTCTTTCTCCATATGAGAGCCCTTCAGATACTTGGAGACAGCTCTCATGGCTCCCCTGTTTTCTTCTCCACTTTCTTCAACCAATCCTCACCTGACATGGATTCAAGGCTCCTCGTCATCCTGACTGCCCCACTCTGCTCACGCTTGCCAGCTTTTCAATGTCCTTCTTAAGCCTTGGCTCTCAGACTTGAACACAGAACTCCAGATGAGGTCTGATGAGGGCAGAGTATAGCGGGATTATCACATCCCTATGGTTGGAAGCTCTGCCTCTCTTAATGTAACCCAAGGTCTCCTTAGCTTTTTCGGCTGCTACATCATACTATTGATCCATACTGGGCTTGTAGTCCACTAAGACCCCCCAGATTTTTTTTCAGCACAACTGCTGTCCAACCATGCCTCTGCAATTTACACATTTGTGCTTTTCCAATTTTGTGATATCTCTCCTATTTTCCAGGGTTTTAAAAATATCATTGGCAGTGGCTCAGGAATCATGTTTGCTAGTTCTTCAGGACCCAGGGATATAGTAATAATAACACAGGCATACTTTGGAGATGTTACAGGTTAAGTTCCAGAACACTGCAATAAAGTGACTATTCTAATATAATAAGTTACATGAATTTTTTGGTTTCCAAATGCATATAAAAGTTATGTTTACACTATACTGTATGTAGTCTATTAAATGTGCAATAGTTTTATGCCTAAACCCCCCCATGTATATATCTTAATTTAAAAGTACTCTATTACTGAATACTGCTAACCATCATCTGAGCCTTCAGTGAGTTATAATCTTTTTGTTAGTGGAAGGTCTTGCCTTGATGTTGACAGCGCTGACTGATCAGGGTGCTGGTTGCTGATAATTTCTTAAAATAAGACAACGATGAAGTTTGCCCCACTGATTGACTCTTCCTTTCACTTGAATGCTTAGAAACCATTGTACGATAATTAATTGGCCTCATTTCAATATTGTTGTGTCTCATTGAATTGGGAGGCCCTAGGAGAGAGAGAGACAGGAATAGCAGGTCGCTGAAGCAGTCAGAACACACACCGCATTAATCAATTAAGTTTTCCACATTATTAGGGTGTGGTATGGCGCCCCAAAGCAATTATAATTGTAACATCAAAGATCACTGATCACAGATCACTGTAACAGATATAATAATAATGAAAAAGTTTAAAATATTGTGAGAATTACCAAAATGTGACTCAGAGACACTGTGAGCAGATATTGTTGAAAAAATGGTGTGATAGTACACAGGGCTGCCACAGACCCTCAATATGTGAAAAAAAAAATGAAATGTCCATGAAGCACAACAAAATGAGATATGCCTGTAATAGCTAACCTTTATATAGTACTTACTATATGTCAGTCACTGTACTAAGTGCTTTACAATTATTATCTCATTTAATTCTCATAATAGCCCTGTGAGACAGATGCTGTTATTATCCCCACCTTCTTTTTACAGGTGAGGAAACTGAGGCAGGCAGAGGGTTCTTTTTTTAGTTACTAGATCAGAGTCATCCAGCTAGCCAGTGTCTGAGGCTAGATTTGAACTCAGATCTTCCTGATTCCAGGACAGGTCTTCTATCCACTGCATTGCCTAGCTGCCCCTAGCATAGTACGTCTGAGCCAGGTGACTTAAATTCATCAAAGGCAGCTAGGCATTCTCTTACTATCTCTACTTATTTAGAATATCAGTTCCTTTTCAGCCATTTTTGTTATATCATTTCCAGTGCAAAGGTCATTCTTCTTGTAAGAGAACTAAGAAAATTCCATTTTTATTGTCCTTACCTTCGCCCTCCAGCCTCAGCTCAATCTAAGCTTGAGCATTCCTGATGCCATTTTTACATGATCATGCTACACTTATGTTTGTCTTCTGGTACCTGGCCTCCCTTCCATCTTCTTTAATTTCTTTTGAAAGTCTAAGTTGGATGCTGTGTTCCCAGTGCATCCATATTGGTCTCTTCAGATATTGCCTTTCCTCCACCTCATAGGAGTTGTGTCTCTTTGTCTTGAGAATTCCATTCTTGAGCATTTCACATTTCTCTTGAGCTGACTTTCTCTGCAGAATTTTATTTCATAGGATCCTACCTTTCCTTTCTCTACACCCTGTGAAACCCACTTTCCTGTAAACTAGGAGGCATGTCAGGTTATGCCTGGATTTCTTTTCCTCTATTTAAACTCAAGGAGGGAGTGGTTGTTTCCTCTTCCCTCACCCCAGGGTTCCCATAATTACCACTCCAACAATAAGCTTCTTCCTCCTGGAGAGAATCAGGTCCAAGTCAAATCAAGTCAAGGCATCCAGAATAAAGTTGCCTTCACTTTTTGAGGGATGAAACTATCAGTAAGTCAAGTTCATAAATTATTAACTGTTTTGCTTTGGAGGGAGGAAGGGAAGGGAAGGAGAGAGAGAGAGACAGACAGACAGAGAAAGACAGAGAAAGCACTCCAATCAATGTCTAGATAATTAAAGCCAATTAGTTCAGCAAAGATGATGTAGTAGAAAGCACTACAGACCAACTCCCCATTTTGTTGTTGTTGTTCATTCGTGTCCAACTCTTCATGATCCTGACCCCATTTGGGGTTTTCTTGTAAAAGATACTGGAGGGGTTGGCCATTTCCTTCTTCAGCTCATTTTACAGATGAGGAAACTGAGGCAAACAGGGTGAAGTGACTTACCTAGGGTCACACAGCTAGTAAGTGTCTGAGGCCAGATTTGAACTCAGTCTTCCTGACTCCAGGCCAGGCACTCTATCCACTGTACCACCTAACTGTCCAAGCTCCCTCATAGCTACTCCAATTAAAGATCTAAATGAGCACCAGACTGAGTATCCATTGAGGAATCTAAGGAGAAATCACAGAAATCTTCCTATCCCAAGATCATGAATTCAATCCAAAAGCAAATGACCAGGGCAGGACTATGGAAGAGGAGTAGGCTGAGAATTCAGACTAAGCCCCTGGGCTCTGAACAGGGTCACAGCGCTGTTTCTCTGATCCCAGAGCAGGATTGATGACTCATTCCAGGGGCTAAGAACAGGGATAATCAGTTTTCCAGCTAGCTAACAGAGACTGGGGCTAGTAACTGTCTACTGAAGCTCTATGTTGAGAGGCAAGTCTTCATTTGTGTTCCTGAAACTCAAACAAGTGCCTAGAGCCTGGGTAGTCCAGAAAGGCGACTATCCAGATCATTCCCTCAATCAATCCATGTAAAATAAGGCCTTCTGAAAACTTGCAGTAGCCTGGCCCAAGATGCCTCTGTGAACCCTGAAGAGTACAGAACTCAGTGCCTAGAGAATATCCATCAGGATTCCAGATTAGTTAAGCCAGGAGCACACAAGGTCATGGTGGGCTGGATGGGTGTAGTACACCTTATTTAAAAAATGTTGTGGGTATATGCACACAGTGTATAGAGTCTAGCCTAACTGACGCAAAGTGCCAATGCTAGAAGTGAGGCTAGAAAATGAATAAACAAGAAGATAAAGAAGTATTAGGGTGCCAGGGATACCCACTATGTAAACCCAGAAGAGGAGAATAATAATAAAAAAAAAAACACCTACAAGAAAAGCCTCAAAAAGAAATACAGCTTGGCCACAAATTTAGTTAGAATTTCTGGAAGTCAGGAAGTCAGGAAGACTTGAGTTCAAATCTGCCCTCAGACACTTATTATCTGTGTGACCCCAGGAAAATAACTTAACCCCCATTTGCCTCAATTTCCTTATCTGTAAAATGGGGATAAATAACAGTACTTGCCTCCCAGGGTTGTTGTGAGTATCAAATGCGATAATATTGTAAAGTGCTTAGCTCAGTGCCTAACACATAGTAAGCACTATATAAATGTTAGCTATTATTATTAAGATAATATTATAGATAATCGAAGTCCCCCATCATTAGTCTTTCCTGACTTTGTTCCAGGCTTATTATGTTTCCCAACCCCCTCATCTATTTCTTCTTTCTCAATTACAAAAAACACATGTTTCTAGCTCCATTGACTTTCACCCAAATATTCCTCACCATGCTTTCCTGCTCTAGTTACTGGATTTCCTCACTTGAGTATACCATATTGATATATAATACTGCACTGCCTTCCTTTCCTTACTCCCACGGGGCTAGGGAAGTACCAGGGGAAAGACAGACAGACAGACAGATAGATAGATAGATAGATAGATAGATAGATAGATAGATAGATAGATAGATAGATAGATAGATAGATGAAGGATAGATAAAGAAAGATAGATGATATACATATATATGGGGAGAGAGATTATATGGGCATATATATTCACACACACATATGTGTGTGTGTGTGTGTGTGTGTGTGTGTAGACCCACAACATTTTTTAAATAAGGTGTACTATACCCATCTAGAGCCATAGTCCAGTCATGAGTTTCATCCCACCAAACTGCACTGATAATTGTGAAGTCAGATTTATCTCCTTACATTAGAATCTCAAATTCCTGTTATTTATTCTCTAAACTTGGGGCATTTGTGTATAAACATTTCAGGTCATGGATTTTATCACTAGCTCCTTTCTTGGATTGTCTTTCTTCATTATAGCTACTCTCTATAATATCTAGCTACAGAAAGTTTTCTACCTTTTTTTAGATGAAAGCTCTTCTGATTAGATTTGCAAGACGCCCAGCAAATGCATTCTTATCCAGCGTTTGTTAGGTGTGCTTCATTTCTGGTCAGGAATCTGTTGTCCCTGTGTTTTATGCTATGGTCCAGAAGTCCAAGTCCTGTTCTCAGATACCACATTCTTATCAAGCAGTTAATTTCATATATATGTATATGTATGCATTCATGCATATGTATATCCACATATATGTATGCACATCCATGTACTTATACATGTATATATGTATGTGTATATATGCATATGTATTTCTATTTTAAAGTAAATAGGGAAAGAAGGCTAGAGTTCCATTCCCAGGCTGAGCTAGGTCCCCACCTCCTGTACCATTTGCCTTTCTTCCTTCAGGTTTGGAAGCGCTCTGGAGCATGGTTCTTCAAGGGCTTCCCCAAACAAGTGCTCCCTCAGCCCATGCCAGTGAAGAAATCCAAGCCTCAGCAGCCGCCCATGGAGCCCAGCTCCTCAGAGCCACCCACCCTGGAGCCCAAGCACCATCCCCGAGCACCTGGCCGAGGTAAGATAGATGGGAGGGCAGCCTTCCACCTTGGGTCAAGTTACTTCATCGTGGGACTGGAACCCCAGACCACAACTCAGAGTTCAGATTTCTCCAGATGTGAACAAATATGCCAGTGCTTTGAGCACTGTACTGGGACTCAGGATGTTTGGCTCTCAATCACAGCCTTATCTAGTCCCTGCTCTGTGGTTCTCATTCCAAATGGCTGGCACATGTTTCCAGAGTGGAACTTTTGGGGAACTGGAGGCTTTAACCAGTGCATAAGAGAATCTCAAAGTTCTAAGAGAGAAAAAGAGGGAGAGGTCCTTTGGGGGAGGGGGAGTGGCTAAGGAAGTCATCATGGAGGAGGTAAAGGATGGATGGGACTTTAATGAGTGGAGATGGGAAGGGGTAGGGAGGACATTCCAAGTGCACAGAATTGTGTGAACAAAGGCATGGGACTAGGGAGGGAAGAATTTTCACTGCCGAAATTGTTTATCTCTTTATATTTCTTAGGGCCAGGAGAGGCTGGCCTCCCTGGAGAACATGGTAAGGGAATGGGGACTGCCCCCGTGCATGCAGTCCCGCCCTCTTACTCCTTGCTCTGCTCAATAAGGGCTCCTGGCTGTGCTGTAACATCCTGAGAATCCTTGCTTTTAGATTCCTAAATACCCCAAAGCTTCTCCTTCAACTTCTTTCCATCCTTCCCTTCAGCCTTGAGTCTGCAGGGGATCCTTGCCTCTCCTCGCTTCCCTTCCTGCCAGTGCAGTGGGTAAATAGCAAGAGTCTCCATGCCTGCAACAGCCATCACATGTTGGATGGCTCTGCTTTGGGCTTCTTTTGCCTGGTGTTCTCTAGCATATACAACAAGCTCTAGGTTGGCCAAAGCCTTGCTTGGCGAGGGAGCCTGGAGTAGGGACTAGAAAGCTGACCCTGAGGTCAAGAAACTAGTCCCCTGTTTGACACATACCGGCTGGCCATATAACCCCAGGCAACTCACTTGTTTGTTCTAGGCAAATGCTCTAAGATTGTAAGAGGTAGAGAAGGTGAGGCAGTGGAGAGGACACCCAGCCTAGAGTCAGGAAGACCTAAGTTCAAATCTGGCCTCAGACACTTACTAGATGTATGACCCTGGGAGTCAAACCTCTGTTTGACTCAGTTTCCTCAAGTATAAAATGGGGGTAATAACAGAGCTAGGTGGCGCAGTGGATAGAGTGCCGGGCCTGGAGTCAGGAAGACTCATCTTCCTGAGTTCAAATCTGGACATTTACTAGCTGAGTGACCCTGGGCAAGTCACTTCACTCTGTTTGCCTCAGTTTCCTCATCTGTCAAATGAGCTGGAGGAGGAAATGGCAAACCATCCCAGTATCTTTGCCTATAAAACCCCAAATAAGGTCTTGAAGAGTCGGACACAACTAAAAAAACGACTAAACTGTAACAACAATAGTAACACCTACTTCACAGGGTTGTTGTGAGATCAAATGAGATATTTGTTAAAAGTGCTTAGTATGGTGCTTGGTACAGAGCAGGCTGTACGTAATACTTATTCCCTTCCCTTTTCTCCCTTCTCTCCCCTAACCTGCACGAGAGGAGGATCTCCCTATATTGATGAAATTGTAGGTCTAAAGCACTATCCCAAAGTACTTCGCAAACATAAAAGTCCTGTGTAGATGTCAGGTATCATTTGTATCCATCCTGTGAATTTCTCATGTCTTCTGCATTTCCTTCTTCCTTGTGCTATTGACTTTTTCACCAACGATTTCAGTTTGATTCACCTAAAAAATATGGGTGATCCTTTATATACAAAGATGGTGCTACTGACCCATTGTTACTAAGAAGTGCACTTGGAGTTAAATCATTTTAACAGGCATTTATTAAGCACCTACTGTATGCCAGACCCTGAGAATACAAAGACAAAACCAAAATTGTCTTTGCCCTCAAGGATTCTGGGTCCTACTGGAACCCTTTGACCTGTTGGTCCCTCTCCTGCGAAACACATGGCAGCTGGTGGTGGGGTTAGGGAAGTAAAGGACAGGGTTTGTAGCTCACTGTCCTTTGGGACTCAGAGGGATATACTTTATGGACCTTGACACATAGTTGTGGGCTGGCTCAGAAAGTTCATCTCTGTCCAGTGCCAGTGATCTCAGTGAATTAGACACTCTTACAATGAGACTAAGTTTGAAAGTTCAGTCCTGACAGTTGGGAGCCCTCTTTCCAGGGCCACAGAGGTATCCTGAGCCCCAGCCAGACATCTCACAAATGAGTACTTTGGAGGACAAGGGCATGGGGCTGAGTGGGGCTGGCTCAGGGTGAGCCCATCCATATTCCCATAGAGAGAAATGCCCCCAGGCATTAGTGCTTCCTTTTGTGACAAGTATTTGGAGATCACTTTGATTTTCCCTTGGTCCCCATCACTCTCTATCTTTTTTTATACTTATCTGGGGAATGGGGGTAAGGAGGACATTACAGGTGCACAGAATTGTGTGAACAAAGGCGTGGGACTGGGGAGGTTTCAGGGGAAGAATTTTCACTGCCAGAGTTGGTTATCTCTTTACGTCTCTTAGGCCCAGGAGAAACTGACCTCCCTGGAGGACACAGTGAGGGAATGGAGATTGCGGCCGTGCATACAGTCCTACCCCCATACTCCATACTCTGCTCCTTTCCCTTTGGTCTCTCACCAGAAGATTGTAACTTCCTTGAGGGCAGGGGCCCTTTGGTTTTGTCCTTGTATTCTTGTCTCCTAGCATAGGACCTGGCATGTAGTAGGTGCTAAGTAAATGCCTTGTGAAATTATTTAACTCCAAGGGCACTTCCTACCAATAATGGGTCAGCCACACTGTCTTCGTGAATAAAGATCAGTCTGTATTTTTTTTAATGTCCTAGAGAATGGCCAAAAATAAGGACTCACATTTATAAATCACTTAAAGTTTACCAAGTTTCCCCCATAACAACGCTGAGAGGTCAATAAGGCAGTGATTCAGTTTAAGAGTGACTACTATGCAAAATGTTTACAAAGATATAATAGTCCCTGACCTCGAGGAGTCTACTGAACTTACTTTTATCAGAGGACCTGGGTTCAAGTTCTACCCCAGAAGCTTACCACCTGTGTGATCTTGGGCAACAACAACAACAATAATAATAACTGGTATTTGTACAGTGCTTTAAAGTTCTCAAAGTGCTTTACAAATATTATCTCATTTTATCTCCACAAAAACCCTGAAAGGAATCAATAACAATAATAACTAACATTTATACAGTGCCTTGGAGAAGGAGATGGCAAACCGCTCCAGTATCTTTGCCAAGAAAATCCCAAATGGGGTCACAGATAGTCAGACACAACTAAAACAAACAATGACAAATATAGTGCCTACTATGTGCCAGGCAGGGTGCTAAGCACTTTGTGACTACTATCTCATTTGATCCTCCCAACAACCCTGGGAGGTGAGGTGTTATTATTATCCCCATTTTACAGATGAGGAAACTGAGGCAAACGGACTTGCCTAGTGTCCCACAGCTGGTAAGTATCTGAGGCAGGATTTGAACTCAGGTATATTCTTGACTCCTCAGGCCCAGTAAGAGGTAAAGTGATTTGCTGAGGGTTACCTAGCTAGTAAGTGTCTGAGGCCATTTTTTAACTCATGTGTTCTTGACTCCAGGCCCAGACCCTCAGTTTCCTCATCTGTACATTCATAGATCTAGTTCTAGACAGTGCCTTAGAGACCCTGTGGTCCAGCCCCTTCATTTTACAGGTAAGGAATGTGAATGACTTGGCCGTAGACACACAGGTAGTGTCGGAGGTAGAATATGAACCCAGATCCTCTTCATAAAATGAGGGGGCTGGCCTAGATGGCTTCTGAGGTCCCTTTGAGCTTTAAATCTATGAATCCATGATCCCGTGGTGACACATTTTGACCAAGAGAGGAAGTAAAGTGGAAAGGGCATTGGATTTGGGGTCAGAAGACTTGAGTTCAAATCTTGATTCTACTGTGTAACACCCATGTGACCTTGAGTAAGTCACTTCCCTTCCAAGAGGGGATGGGATCTGCCTTCAGTCATACATGCTAGTAAGTGCCAGAGTCAAGATTCGAACCCGGGCCTTCCTCACTCAGAGTCAAACTCTTTTTTTCCACAATAACATGTTTCCCCTGCTATGGGACAAATGGAATCCTTGTCATCCCTGCCCCCTACCATGTGTCCATCCTGTACCGCCAGAAAAAATTGACTCTGCCTTCTCCTTCCTTGCCCCCAGGTGACGCTGGGGACAAGAGGGGCATGGGCCAGAAATCAGGTTTGTTTGCTGGAGGGAGATTGGCTCCGATTAGAATAGGGGTGCTTCAGAATCCTGAGTCCTGGTTCTCCCAGGCTGGTCACATCCCCTTTTCTAGGACCGAGGGTCAGACAGGGGAGGACGACAAAGCTCACAGCTGTTCCTGCTCTTTTGATTTCTTGTCCTGCTGTGGCTCGGGGCTCCCTGTACGTCCCTGATGGTGATGTTTCCAGGTCTGGTGTTTGGTATTGTTGTTTTTTGATCACCTCATTGCTTGGCCCTTCTACCTGGGATTTATGTGGTCCTATGGACTCCATTAGAGACTGTCAAGGTAGTCAGCCCGAGTCTACATGGGGAAGGCAGCATCCTGCATTTTCTAACAATCTGGTGGCATAATACACCAGTTACCAACGGGAGACAAATTCTTCCATCAGTTTCAAACATCTCCTTCCTCTAGTCTGCACCTGTTGGCTCGGTGGTTAGTCATTGATCTGGAGCTGGTTCTCAAAGGTCTCCCTTTGCACCTGGGAGGCAGCATACCCATCTCAGTATGGTCCGATGGTCTCCAATCAGGCTCATAGGTCCATTGTGGACTGGCAGATCTGGCAGAGATCCCGGGTCTCTCCAGACTAAGCCCTCCATTTGACAGATGGAAAAACAGTCCCTAAGAAGGGAAGTGTCCAAAGTTCAAGGTCACATGGTGAGTTAGCGGTAGAGCGAAGACATGAACTCAGATCTCCTGACCCCTCATCTGGGGTTCTTTCCACTGCCTGGAGGACATTAAGGCCCAGAAAGGTATCACAGAATTAAAACTGGAGATGACCCTAGGGGCCAGCTAGTCTAGCCTCCTCATTGTACAGGTGAGGAAACTGAGGCCCAGAGAAGTTAATTGGCTTGCTCACAGTCACTCAGGTAATAAGTGGCAGAGTTGGGATTTTTATGTAGGTCATCTGTCCAGTTTACAGAAGACCTTAAATGCCAGGCTAAAGAGATTATATTTTATCCTAGAGGCAGTTGGGAGCCACTGAAGTTTCTTGAGTAGGAGAATGATGCAATCAAACTTGCCCCTTTGGAACCACACTGTGGCAGCTCTATGAAGGTTGGACTAGAAAGGAGAGAGACTAAAAACAGAGAGACTGTTTATCTTATCCCTCCTTCTCCCTCTCCGCTTGCCACTTTCCTTCCTTCCTTCCTTCCTTCCTTCCTTTAGAATTGTTCCCTGATGAGCATTTTCCTTTTTTTTTTTTAAACAAATGCTTTGCCTTTCAGGTCCTGAGCCTGCACCTGCTCCTGGCAGGGGCAGCTATGGCCCCCCAATGCGCCGGGCCTCAGAGGCTCGCATGAGCTCCAGCGGAACGGACTACACAGGCAGGGATTCCGAAGGCCGGGACTATGGCCCAGGTGGGGCCGCTGGGGGTGATGCCAGTCGGAGTCCAGCAGGTGAGTGGGGGGGGGATCAGCCCACAGCAGCTTCTTGGAGGAAGCAAATTTGGCACAGGATGTGAACAGAGCTGAAAGGAAGGGAGAGCTATGGGCTGGTGGGATGATGGTAGTAGCAGGAAGGAAGAGAAAACTCATTCAATCCAAGATCAAAACTGGACGGGACCTTCATCTTAAATATGAGAAAACTGAGGTAGACAGAGGTTAAGTGACTTACCCAGGGTCACACAGCTAGTAAGTATCTGAGGCAAGATTTGAACTCAGGTCTTCCTGATTCTAAGCCCAGAACTGTATCCATGCTAGCTGGCATTTATAGGATCATAACTCTAGAGCTGAAGGGAATCTTATGGACTATAGAATCCAGCCATTTCAGTGTGATGTAGTGGATAGAGGGCCAGCCTCAGAGACTCGGGTTCAGTCCTACTTCTGACACATACGTGCTGTGTGACCCTGCACAGGTCACTGAACTTTCATTGTCCTAGGGAAGAGCATTAAAACTATACCCTAAAAGGTACCAGTCTCATTTGGAAGGAGTTTCCTTGCCAGGGAGCTCCTTGTACCAATGAAATCAGAGGTACCGTCCCTGTCTTTCCATTTTAAAGATGAGGAAACTGAGTCTCAGAGAGGTGAAGTTGGCTTGCCCCAAGGTCACACAAACAGTAAGAGATAGAGGTCACTTCACCTCTCCTGGGCTCTCATTTTTCTGAACTGGAAAATGAAGGGAGTGGCCCCAACAGCCTTCAAAGGTCCCTTTTAGCTCTCAATCGGTGATCCTGGGTGGGATTGGAATGCCACTGGTCCTCTGACTCCCAATCCGGGGCTCTTTGCCAGGATACCAGGTTGTGGAAAAAATGTCACACTCATTCTCACATTTATCATCCCAAAGGGTGGAATCAGGTAGAGTGAGTGGAAATTGCAGGAGCAGATTTGTTTTTTTGAAAGCTTCCAAAGTGGCCCAGGCTGCCCCGGGGGTGGGGGGCTCCCTTTTCCTGGAAGTTACCAACCAGAGGCTGGATGGTTGGGGATGGCTCAGAGAGGGGGTCTTGTTTCAGGGTTGGGCTGGGACGGAGGGCCTTCAGGGTCCCTCCCAACATAGCGATTCTAGGATGAGGCCCCAGCTGGCTGTCAGTGGTGAGGGTGGGATGAGCAGTACCCCCCAAAGAGGAATCGGGAATGAACACTAACTCAGGCCCCACACTTTGAAAGATGCTGAGTTGGCAGGTTTATTTGGTTGCAGCTCTGCCCCACTGGCAATCATTCCAGCTGTCTTCAATTCCTCAGCTATGCCTGCAATATTTAATGGGAGGCTGCCGGCAATACCAATCACGTAATCCTCTTGTCCCGGCCAGATGGCAGCTTAGCTTTCCTTTCTATGCCAGGCTGTGTTAACATCAAAGCGAGAGGCTGAATATTAAGGCTCAGTATCAGTCCCTGAGTCTTCTGGTCTTTTACTCGGCTCCTGAAATCATGCCTTGGCCGCTTATCGCATCAGCTCCTATCCCTTCTTAGCAACAGGTCTGGGCAGTGCGGTTCCTGTTTAATCTCAAAGCCCTCCCCCTCCCCACTCCCCTTCTTTCTATAAGACTGGACTTCAAGGTAGTTTTATTTTTTTAAACAATAAGGAAGGGTCCCTCTCCCCCATAACAAGCGCAGGGGGAATTTTCTCTTTCACATTCACAAGAAAAGAATGTTGATGAGGTCAGTGCGCTGGAAGGAGGGCTGGATATGAAGTCAGAGGACCTTTGTTCTAGTCATGGCTCTGCTAATTAATGTGTGATCTTGGGTGAGTCATTTCCCAGACCAGATGATCTTTGAGGTCCCGTGCAGCTTGAAACTAGGACCCTGTGAACACTGACAGCTGTGTAGCCCTGGGCAAGTCACTTCTCTCTAGGGCTCAGTTTCCTCATTCATAAAGATGAAGGGATTTGGATGTGTGGTAGAATACTGGAGTTGGAGTAGGAGGATCTGGGTTCAAATCCTGCATCTGTCACTTATTAGCAGTGTGACCTTGAGCAAGTCACTTAAATTCTCTGATTCTCTAAATTCTCTGGAGTCAGGAAGGCCTGAGTTCAAATCCAGCCTCAGACACTCACTCTAGGCTAGTCACTTCACCCTGTTTACCTCAGTTTCTTCATCTGTAAGATGAGCTGGAGAAAGAAATGGCAAACCGCGCCAGTGTCTCTGCCAAGAAAACCCCAAATGGGGTCATCGAGGGTCATGACGCTACTGAAATAACTGAACAATAATAAGCAACACAAGAAAGATACAAAGCGTTCTAGCAGAGATTATTGGACTTACAGCCGGGAGTCCCCCGGTCTTCATCTAATCCACCCCCTTCATTTTCCAAGGCCAATAGGAGTTAAGTGACTTGCCCAAGGTCATACAGATGATTTGCCACCCAATTTAGTGCTCTGAGCACTCTGCCCTCTCATGAGAGTCAGAGCATGCTAGACTTAGGGTCAGAAGACCTGGGTTAAGATCCTGCTCCTGGCACCTCACTCCAAGACTTGGGTCATCTCTTGCCCTCCTCAGTCTCAGGATCTTTCTCTATAAAATCAAAAGGCTGGACTAGATCCTCTCTAAGATCTCTGTATCAGGCTGAAGGAATCAGGGAAGGCTTCAAGGAGGTAGTGATGCTTGGAAGGAGTTTGGAAGGATAGGTTGAATTTCCACTAGGTTTGAATGAGCCTAGTAGGGTGAATGTGGAGGAGACGGCACTCCAGGAGGAAAAAAGCATGAGAAAAGGTATGGAGGTGGGTAAATTCGGGGCATGTTTTGGAAAAAGTAGCTCAGTTTGAATGGAATATAGAGTACAATTAACCATGTTAAAGATGAATCGGTCAAAGGAACCAGGAGTGTTTAGCTTCAAGAAGATTCAAAGATATAGCTGTCTACAAGGACATAGGGTCAGAGTTTTAAACCTGAAAAGGTATTTAGATGTCATCAACTCCAATCCCCTTCCCTTATCTTACAGATGAGGAAACTGAGGCCCAGACAGAGGTAAAGTGGCTTATCCAGGGTCATATAGCTAAGAAGTGTCTGAAGTGGGATTCAAGCCCAGGTCTTCCTGATCCCAGGCCCAGTGCTCTATAAACTATACCACACTGCCTCTTACCCTTCAGGAAGGATTGTGATGTGGAATCAATTAACCAATAAGCAAGCATTGATTAAGCACCTACTAGGTGGCAGATACCACGATGGGGCCTAGAAAGACAAAGACAAAAATATAATACAATCCCCACTTACTTTCTGTCAAAGCAAACACCTATGGTAAAGATAGGTAGGTAGATTAGATAGATAGATAGATAGATAGATAGATAGATAGATAGATAGAAGGGCAGCTAGGTGGTACAGTAGATAGAGCATCAGCTCTGGAGTCAGGAGGACCTGAGTTCAAATTTGGCCTTAGACACATAACACTTACTAGCTGTGTGACTCTGGGCAAGTCACTTAACCCCAACTGCCTTGCCCAAAAAAAAGATAGATAGATGGATAATTAGGTAGATGGATAGTTAGATAATTAGATGGATAGGTAGATGGCATTTATTAAGCACTCACTGTATACCAAGCACTGTGCTAAGCACTGGGGACACAAATGCAAGCAGGGGCGGCTAGGTTGCACAGTGAATAGAACATCAACCCTGGAGTCAGGAGGACCTGAGTTCAAATCCATCCTCAGACACTTCCTAGCTATGTGACTGGGCAAATCACTTAACCTTGATTGTGTCAGAACAAAAAAATGCAAGTAAGATAGTCCCCATTTTCAAGGCTTACATTCTAATAGGGAAGATAATACATAAAAAGGGGCAGAAATCAGGATGAGGTGGCAGGGGGGTGGGTTGTGGAGGAAGAGGAAAAGTCTAAAGAGTCGAGTCAGAAGTAAAGCATAGCTGAGGGGCCTTCCTGAAACAGCGGTCCTAGTAGAGGGTTACCATGTTTGTCTTATAGATAAATATGTTAAGTGATATTGGACTCATTCTGCTTGACCCCAGTTGACAGAAGGAAGGGTAGAAATTTCACAGAGCCTGATTTTGAATCCATGTATGGAATAATGCCTTCACAGTGAGAGCTGTCCCAAAGTGGAATGGGCAGCCTCAAGAGGCACTGGGTTCGCCATCTCTGGAGGTCGGAGTCTGGATGGCCACTTGAGAATGTTGTAGGAGGGATTTCTAGTCGGGCATACATTGAACTATGAAGCCTCTGGCATCCCTTATAGCTCTGATGTTCTGGGACTCTGGGATCCCAGCTACCTGGCAGAAAATCCACAGAATGATGTAATTACAACTCTTTCCGTCCTGTCAGAAAGAGCTGACTCACTTTGTTATAAAAGGCTTAGTCACACCTGGTGGCCTGCGGATGCTCATGAATCAGGGTAATCCCCAGTCTAAATATATTTGAAATCGCTGGGGATGAGTTATAATTTTGGAACAAACCCCAGTCGTGAGAGTGCCTTCAACACTGGTGGTACCTGCTCAAAAAACTCAACACTAAAGAATTTTAGGCTTCCTCATGGACCTACATCTTGATATTTCAACATAGAAGAAACCAAATAGCTCTTGGCCTTGCTTGGGTCTCTTGGAGTAAGGCCCATAGCTATGGGAGCCCCAATGCCTGTGAGATGCTCATTCCTGCTGTTAGCTGGTCCAGAGTGTCACCTGGGTAGGAGAAGCCTGAGAAGATGTGGACAAAGGCCAGGGCTGGAGAAACTAATGGGAAAAGTCTAATGGGGCCAGCTGAAGAATCCCCCTAGCAAAAGATCAACACATGTTTATTAAGGGATCTACAATCAATCAACACAGATTTATTAAACACTTGCTATGAGCCAAGAACTGTATTAAGCACTGGGGGATACAAAGAGAACAATGTTTATTGGGGGATATAATGCATATGCATATAAGAATAGACAAAATATATGCAAAATTAGTACACAGTGATTGGCAGGGGTGGGGAAGGAAGGAAGGAGAAGTATTAATAGCTGGGGCGGGGTAAGGAAAAGTCTCACACAGAAGTGTGAGTAGTAGAGAGAACCCTGGATTGGAGTCAGAGGGCATTGATTTGAATCCTGGTCCTGCTAAGTATTAAATCAACAAATCATTTAACTTAATAACAGCACTCAAAGAATCATGGCTTTAGAACTGGATAAGACCTTCAAAGCCATCAAGCCCAATACCCTCATTTTACAGATGGAGAAACTGTGACCCAGAGAGGTAAATAAACTGACCTGCTCAGGGTCACACACCTGGTGAGAGTTTGAGGCAGTTCTCAAACTCAAGTCTTCCTGACTCCAACTCCAGCATTCTATCCATTGTATCACCTACCGGTCCCATTTATTTAGTGCCTACTATGTGCAAGGCAGTGTGGTATAGTGGATAGAGACTTGGTCAGGATGACCAGGGTTTGAACCCCACTTCTGAAATACTCTGACTGTGTGACCCTGGGCAATTCTCTTAACTTCCCAGTTCTGCCAGGAAATTTGTTAAGAGTTTCCTTACCTGGAATTCCCCTATACTGATGAAATCACAGATCTGGACCAAAAAAAAAATGTAGGCAAAACATGCTTGTGTAGACAAGTCACTTCTCCCTCTCTGTGCCTGAATTCACTCATCTGTAAAATTAGGGAGGTGAACAAGATGGCCTCTGAGGTCACTTATGGCACTCAATCTATGATCATTGTCATTCTTAGGTGACAGTAATAGAAGTACCAAAAAAGAAAGAAAGAAAGAAAATAAGAGAAAGAAAGAAAAATAGAAAGAAAAAAGCAGTCCTTGACCTTATTGGGCTTACATTCTACTGAAGGAGTATGATTATTTGCATGAGAGAGAGAGAAAGAGATGGACATGGAGACAGATAGACAGACACAGACAGACAGATAGAAGATAGATAGATAGATACATAATCAGGATCATTTGGAGGAGAGAGGGCCCTTGCATAAAGGGGAGAGATTATCCATAAGAAGTGGCACCTGAACTAAGCCTAGAAGGGACTCCTCTAGAGGGGAGGAGGGGATGTATCCCCATCATGGGGCACAGACTATGCAAAGGCATGTAGATGAGACATAGAACATTGGGTCTAGGAAACAACATGTTCAGTTTAGCTGGAATAGAGACTGCATGAAGAGCAATGGTAGGATAACAAGTCTGGAAATGGATGCTGGAGACAGATTTGAAGGGCTTTAAATAACAGAGGATTTTACTTTATCCTAGAGGTAATAGGGAGCCATTGAATATTCTTGAGCCAGGAAGTGGTATGGTCACATCATTATGTGCATTAGAAAGATTATTTTGGGGGCAGCTAGGTGGGGCAGTGGAAAGAGCTCCAGCCTTGGAGTCCAGAGGACCTGAGTTCCTTACTAGCTGTGTGATCCTGGGCAAGTCACTTAACCCAGATTGCCTCATCAAAAAGCAAAAAAAAAGAAAGAAAGAAAGAAAGAAAGAAAGAAAGAAAGAAAGAAAGAAA